TGATGAGCAGCTGACAACTGCTGATAAAACATGTGTTGGCAAGACATGCTCCCTGCAGGATTGATAAGAAAATATTGAGTCGGCCTGCCAAGTTGCATTGAAAGTTCTCATCATAACTTATCCATTACACACTTATCGCTCTCCTATCATATTCGTTTTCATACCAATCTCCCATCCAGTTTTGTTGTTTTGTTGAATTTAGAAAAATTTACCATGATCAACAACATCCTTAATATCATGTTTATATTCCCCTTCATGATTCCCTTCCCCAAATCTATTTTTGATATTTCAATGATGACGATGTATGTTTGCTTGGCTGCTATCATCATCATCATCATCATCATCATCATCATCATCATCACCCATCGTAATCAAACTTCCCAACTGATATATTAATATTTTATTATTACTGTTGCTGTTATTATTGTTAATAATAACAATAACAATATTATTATTATTATTATTATTATTATGTTGTTACAAGTAAATGTCAAGTGTTAATGAATGTTATTGTTGGTTGATGACTGTTCATTGATGATGACGACGACGACGATGAGGATAGAGATGATGGTGTCAGTGATGATAATTGTGAATGTAGTGATATGATGATTACGATGATGATTATGATGATGATGGTGATGATGATGATTAAGGTCAAACTATAGTAATATAGGGATGATGATTATGATGACGGCCATGACGAAGAAGATGATCAAGCAAGAAACTGACAAAAAAGATGTATTGAATTGAAATAAACACCGTATATAAATAGAAACACGTAGTTGCATATGGAGACATTCAGCAGCACAATCTATTTGTTTCTTGTCAAAATATTTTTGATTTGTCAGAAAGCAGACAATTTTTATTTCATTGCAATGGTAATGAGTAAACAAATATTGTCTAATAACAATAACAACTGAACGTTAACGCAAAACCACAATCAAGCTTTTGTTTTGTTAGATTTGTGTTGAATCAAAACCACGCACTGACAACACCAAAACAAAAACATACAACTAAAAACAACAACTAAAAATTTACAATGACAACAACGACACAACCGCAATATACGAAGCAACAGAATCAACAACAAAACCAACAAAATAAGAACGTGAAGGCAGATTCTCTGATGGGAAAAAACGGCGAAGTGTTGCTTAACGCATGCCTGAACTAATTGTTGAGCGCGTTGTTTCCAGATTCTATCTCAATTGGCACAGATGGTCAAGCACAATCAACAACATAAAACATACAACAACATACGAGCGTTTATAGTAAAACTGTTCATCTGTACATGCTAGCGCGTTACGTAAGCACTGCATAGCATATATACACATACAAAGACACACACAAAGACACACACGAAGACACTCATATAAAGACATACACGCATCACAAACAAAAACTAAAATATACTCGCGTCCTGAAAATGTTCCGACAAACGTGACCTGCCATATTATTTTTATTTTATAGTTTGCATTATTATTTTAGTTTATAGTTTGCAACATTTGAGCTAAGTGAAAGTTGTTTCTTCCAAGAAATTTGACGAAGAAATCTAAATTGAAGAGTCGACAAGCAGTTTATTGTTTTTATTAAAAGAAACCTAATAGAGTTGATTTAAACCTTTTGAAACAACTTTAAAACTGTTTCGGTGTTGAGTTGTTGTTTACAATCGTACCTGGCAGAGAAACCATAAAAAGTTTTATCTCACACTGAAACCGTTAAAAATCATAAAAAAACATCTAAAAAATACGGTATTGATATGGAAGCACGTTTCCATAGACCAGACAACAAACTGCAGTAACAATGCTCGTACACACATTATTTGGAGAAAGACTTAAACTTAAACCACAATTGATTGGTCGACATGTCAACAATATTTTTCTGGCTTATAACAATAACCAATTTTTAATCTCATTACAATACGGAAGATTGTGTTAATTACTCTATTATTATGGTCTTCGTCCAATATATATATATATATATATATATTGTAATTTTTATCAATAATATATATATATATATATAAATGAGAGAAAAAGGGAGAGAGAGGAAGAGAAAGAGAGAGATTAAAAGTTTCCAAATATTCTTAATAGAAAACTTCGTCAGATAAAGATCAGGGTGTGGCTAGCATCATTAAATCTGCTGACCGTTTTTGATAAAAATCATTGATACATTGCGCAATGTTTGTGCAACATTAATAGAACATTTGTGCAACAGTTGTATAACATTTATACATTTGTTTCAATAAGTTTTGTCGTTCAAAGCTGTTGTTCTCATTCTTCTTCAGTTTAACGGAGTTTTAGCACTATGTGTTGCTAATTGGTGAAAAAATTTACTTACCTTGCTTTGATCGATTGTTTTAAACTATTTTTTCTTTGAGGCTTGTTTGATATTTTGATCACAACATCTGTCGAGAATCTGCTATCTGCAACACAACTCTCACTTCCAAATTCATAGTCCACGTACTCAGTATAATTATTGAAGTCTTTCAATTTGCATAATGTAATTATAAAATACGTTTCCCAATCAATCACGGAAGAGTTAATTTTAAATTAATTTAATTGGATTAATTCGCAAGTAAGGTTCCATTTTCAAGCGAAGTTTCCCATATATTTGATACATATACATACACATTTTCCAGAGTTCATTACCTATTGATATATGTGCATTTAATTGGTTTGATACAAAGTCAATTTTTCACTGTTTATCAGTTCAAATTTTTTTCGTGTACTCACTGTTATCAACTAATTTCTATTTAATGGACTCATACACATCTCACTGTAACCGATCATTTAAGTTAGCCAAGCCTCTTCTTTTTGATCTCTGAATCTCGATAAATAAAATAATGCATGCAATTAACACAATTTTCATTCGATTAAATAGCGTGTCTTACAAATTAAAAAATTGGCTCTTCAAGTGAAGTAAAATATCAAAAATATCAAAATTATAAAGTTACATTTGCACGGTTCTTTAGCCTTCACAAACACTTAATTTATAGAGAAAATGTTGTATATAATTATATAAATGTAATATTTGATAAAATCTACAGAATTTTTAGCTTTTGAAAGTTTACGATTGAACTTTTCAATATTTCTAACAGTAATTTTGTAATCATTTTCTAATTTATTAAAATTAATAAGAAAATTGTTGGTGTTCATGGTGAAGCGAGCTAAAAATTCGGTAGATTTGATCAAATATTGCATCAATTATGGTCTTCCAGCAATTATATAAATATATATAAATTTATATTACTTAAAATACATATATATATATATATATATATATATATATATATATATATATATATGGATGATCCCAGCCAATGACAAACGTTAAATGAATGCAGTGAAGCGCAACGTGACAGCTGATTGGCTAACAAATCTGCTGATATAGCAATGCATTCTCTGATGCTAAATATTGCAGGCGACCTAAACTATATGCATCATTACCTCACATTATACGCCATGAATCATACGTACGTATTATCTTCACATAAATATTATATAGATATTTATATAATACAGTAAATTTTGTTCTTGGCTTGCGACATGTGTGTGGTCTTGAATTGTGTACTGTTTGATAGTTGATACTTCGAAAAAAAAATATCAAGACACTTGGTTAATAATCATAAGTAAAGAAAATGTAAATTTAAAACATGTTTAAAGATTATTTTTTGTTGAGGATTACCAGAAAAGTTTATTTCATTAGCATAAAAACTTTCAAATGATTTTAAAATAGATATTGTTGTATTGTTGTTCTACAATTTTAAAATCTGAGTGTCTAAATTATATTATAAAAAAAATAAAACCAAGCTTTTGTTTGAAATTAAGATAATTTGTTAATTTTATATTATTTCATCATCTTATTGGCTTTCTTTTTTAAATTTTATTCTTGTTATTCGTCATCTTCAACATTTTAGCATCATTATCAACACACCATCTCCATTGTTATTGACAACATTATCATCTTTATCGTCATCACCCTCATCAACATCATCATCATCACCATCATCATCATCAACATCACCGACATCATCATCATCATCGACACTTCGGTCATGGCCATTTTATTGGATGTTGAATTTCTGTCTGATCCTCATCAAACTCCATTAGCATCATCACTATCATCATCACCATCTTCGTCGTTGTCTTCATCACCTTCGTCATCAACAACTACCTTGCTTACTCGTACTGAACAAAATTCGCCATCAACGTCATCATCATCACTATTATCGTCATCATCATCATCATCACTATTATCGTCGTCATCATCGTCGTCGACAATGTCATCTTTTTCAACTTCTGAAACAATCCTGCATGGAAATCAAACTTTGTACACGTCAACATTTTCCCCTCCAGAGGAGAGTGAGTTTTCGAATCATCGGATAGAAAAAAAAAAAAGTTTTCGAGTCCAGGACATTTTGAGTTCATCACCCACCAGCAGCAGCAGCAGCAGCAGACCACGTGCGATTGGCACGCAAAGCCTCGCACCATCTTTCATGCCCTCTTTTAACGCTTCCCCATCGTGGTACCACCTAACTCTTCAGGATGATCAGTTTTTAAAACAGTTAGAACGTCACACAAATTCTTTCTATGATGACGTTGTGCATGGAAATAAATCTGTTTCCAGTAGAAGTACGTTTGAGTTATTTCCATTTCGTTAATTTATTTTTCATTTGTGTGAATAGCATTAAAGTCTAACATTATCTCGTAACAACATTAATTTTCCAACTGACATCTCCAAAATTAGATGATTCCATTGATGGAGCTCAGTTCAGCAAGAATCACAACCACATCGCCACAACAATCAAAAATGGTTTCAATTCTCCCAAGAACATCAAATTGTCCAATTCAGATGAATTCAATCTACGTGCATCTGAAAACAAATTCTACAACATATCGAATGTTGATGCTAATTTGTATGACGAAGAGGATATAGCAGAAGAATTTGATGACGATATTGATCTTGAGAGCACACACCAAAACGATGACAACTCAGAAAACATGAGCGAGAACATCAACAACAAGCTGAGAAGGGCGAGAACTGCTTTCACGTACGAGCAGTTGGTTTCCCTTGAAAACAAATTTCGTCAAACAAGGTATCTCTCCGTATGCGAGAGACTTAACTTGGCACTGGCTTTGAACCTGACTGAAACTCAAGTCAAAATTTGGTTTCAGAACAGGAGAACAAAATGGAAGAAACAGAATCCAGGTCTGGATATCAACAGCCCATCCACAAACCCACCATCGCTCTCCGGCAGCACTCACAATAAGACCGATGAATGCATTGCAAATAAATTTCCAACAAGCACTTCTTTTCCTTTCAATCCGGCTCATCCTTCTCTTCTTACTTTGTTGATCCCTCAAAACCACCCAAGATTGAATGAGAAGTTGCATATAATTTCATGCACCGATAAATTAAAAGAAACAACAAAAGAGAACAAAGACGAAATTTTAAACTGGAAGCAGCGGACAAATTCATTCGTTCCTTTCCTGTCTTCAACGTTGAATTCAGAGTTTTGGAACATTTCAATGCCTGCACCGCCACTAAATTTTCATTCTATGCAGTTCAACAACCAATTTCAAAACAAAATAAACAAAGAATTAATTTTAGAAAATTTCAAAGAAAAACACAAAAACCGTAATACAGAATTATTTTTTGAAAAATTTGAAAATAATAGCGACAAAAACGGTCACAAATCAACAAAGGAAGCAGCTGACAAGAGCAAGAATATCTGTATCGAAAAGAATGCGCCAAACAAAATGGAGCGTAAAAGTTTCGAGACTGTTCTTGATATGAAACCGATTGATGAAAAATATGAGGCGTCCACATTCGAGGGCAATTTCAAGCAAACGTTTTGCCACAACTTATTTTTTTGTCAAAAAATTGTGAACACGTGAAAACAAATCTCAATTTTCAAAATTTATTCTAACAGCTCCATAAACCTTTAAGTATGTGATTTTTCATTTATCTTCATATGACACAATTACTATAAATTGTTAATAATCGATTTTAATAAACTCATTAATGATATTGAAACGTTATGTTGAATACAGCGATTTGAATAAGTAGATTTTTGACGCAGCAATCAGTAGTTTTATTTTGTTTCATTTGAAATTCTGATTTTATTACGCTGTGCTTAATTTAGAAATTGTTGATCTTAAAACTTTGTGTTTCATAGAGAGCTTAAGAAATGAGTATTAGTGAATGTTGAAATTTTTAATTTTCTAAATTTTGTTTCAACATTATATAAAAAACTGAATAAAAACTAATTTAATTTGGTTGTTCTTTCGTTAGTCGAGGAAAGTGTTATAATAATAAGCAAGCCGAACACAACTTCACAATATTTATATGATATTTATTTCCAAAAACCCTTCGTAACAAACATTACCCGATATGATATAAACATACATTCATGTTGTCTCACTTTCCACCAAAACGTGATGCAGCTTGTTAAACACGGGCATTCATGCATGTAGACGCATGTTATCTGTTGCATAAACACGCACACGCACACATGGCATGGACAACATATTGGAGGGAATTTATTTGCCTATTTGCGTTATCACTTAATATGCTTGTTTGAGTTCATCAGACGGGCTGATGGATTGGCGGGAGGTAACATCTCTTCATGAAACCATTGTGAATCAATTGATTGTAAACGAGTGTTGTTAGGGGTATAATAATAATAATAAGCAGTGCATGTCATTTTGTGTGCGTGTGTGTTGTTGTGGACGACTGTGTGTGTGTGTGTGTGTGTGTGTATGTGTGTATATATATGTGTGTGTGTATGTGTGTTGTTGTGTTTTAGCACGTGCGCATGTTTTTGTGCTTCGCTTCCTCCTATGTCTGCAGAGATGTCGCTCTGAAATATAGGATTTAATGTGTTGTAGTAATAATAATAATTCGGTTCAGCTGTGTGAAAAGAATACATAATAATAGTAATAATGGGAACATCTTTTTTTTCACCATAAAAAGCATACAATGATATATATATATATATATATATATATATATATATATATAAGTTAATGTTAATTAAATAATGCGCAATGATAAAATTTATAAAAACTGTATAAAATAATATTAAAGGTTAAGACCATTTTGCTCATTGTGAAGTTAAGTGCAGGATGGTGAAATATATTTAATTAGCATCATAGCTTGTTCCTGTCGCAGTAAATCATACGATAACCTTATAACAGTGTTTATCATTTTATCATTAAATGATAGTATAGTAATAATAATAGTAATAATAATATGAACACTGCTTTTTATTCCATAAAAAACTACCAATATAGTAAAATAAAATAATAGTATAAGATTAGATTAAATAAAATTGAGCTAAAATTAATAAAAAAAAGGTTGTCTATTTTGCTCGTCATTCCATATGAATGAGTGCTAACAAAATATTTTAAAAAAGGATTCGTTTGGTATTTCGGCCGCAATGCATTGAATGTGATGATGATAAAACAGAGTTTATTAAAATGTTTCTAAAATGTTAAGACCAAACTAAATTGTCAAGCGATAAACTAAAAGTATTTAAAAATTCTTATAGAGAAATTTCAAAATTTTTTATTGAAAGTTTTAAGTTACTGTATTCGCTTTTTAGATTTAATTGCAAATTTTAATCATATTTGTTAATTTTAAAATCTTTCGACTTTGTCAAATTTGTTTTATGACACACTGTTAATTTTAGAACTTCGATGATGATATTGTGAACCAGAACAATATCCAGACGAAACGACTTGAAAAGTGCTGAAACTGGGTGGCGATCATCATAATCAAAGTCGAAACTTCTGGATTTGTGCACTTTTTGATGTTTTCTAAAATTATCGTTAAAATTGCATTGTGTTGAATCGTGCATCTTTTCAAAGCTGTTGTTGAGCCGCAGTTAGATATAACATGTTTGTTGGTTTGCTTGGCTAGGCATAACTGACATAGAGTGTTAGAACATCTGCCCCATTTGACCAGGTTGGAGTTTGTTGGCAGCTGCTGACAAATTTAATAATTACTTCTGTAAGTGTGGTTGTCGTTTTCGACCAACGAATAATTTGAGACGCGCTGATATGCTCTCTCACTGCACCTTGGCAACTAAGAGATGTGAGGTTGACGAATTTAATTTCTTGTTGCTCGGATTTAAAATTTTTGAGGGTAGGATTGATGTCATCCAAGTCCAGAAGCAAATTGTCTATTTTGATGTAGTTTTTTAGGCCACAGATTTTTGCGGGAATTTTACTCTTAGTGATTCTAAACCAGCCAGTTTATAAGGCCAAACAACTGCTTACAGGCAGAGCCAGTCAACTTTCAACATCATCGGTAATCAAATAATAATAATAATAATAATAATAATAATAATAATAATAATAATAATAATAATAATAATAATAATAATAATAATAATAATAATAATAATAATAATAATAATGGAAACTGTTTATTTTGCCAAAAGTAAAATAAACATACAATGAAGTGAAAATAAGATAAAATAGAATAAAATAAAAATCAGTAAAGTAGTCTACGATGTTCGCCATTATATCAAAATAAAATGCGTACAACTAGAAATAGAAGATAAGTCTAAAAAAAGTTATGATACATTCGAGTTTCTGTCGCAATAAATTGCATACATTGCTGATATTGTCGAGTTAGTCAAATCATTATGAAATTGGTCAGACCAAATAAAATTCACAAGTGATAAGTTAAAGTGTTTAAAAAAACCTAGTGGAGAGATTTCAAATGTGTTAATAATTTTGAGGCTTTTCTTCTCGTCGACCAAATTGTTATGGATGTTCTGGTATTTAGATATTTTATAGTTCCTTGATGGGGTGAAGTTGAGTTCGTGACAGACTGTCAATTTTATTTCGATTGTATCACCTCGAAGAAGTACTATATCGGGCAAAAATGATTTGAAAAGGAACGATACTGAGACAAAATCGTCGTTAGTCGTATCGGCGATTGTAACATCTGATTTGGCAACCGATCCAATCTTCTCCAGAATAAAAGACAATATTTTAATATGACGTGTTGTATATCTTTTTGAAGCTGCAACTAAACCACAAATTGACAGGACGTGCTTGTTTGTCGGCAATGCGTTACAGAGAGGACACAATGCGTTGGAGGACTTACCCCATCTGGAGAGATTGGAATTTGTATGAAGTTGTTTGAATTAATGCCTTCCTAATAAATTTGAATAAAGTCTCTAGCAAATCGGCTAGGAACTTTGACAATCGGGAAACGCCCGTTTTCGGGACGTGATCTATGATCGATTTAATATTTGTTACTGCCATTTCAGTGAGGATAGATGTACGAGATTGGATTTTTGTTGAGCTGTCGACAGCTTTTTAAGTGTCGGTTTTACATCAGCTGAATCAAAAAGGATATTGTTGACTTTGTTGTAACTGTTGTGATATTCAGTCTATAAACATTTTATTTCATTGTTGACGTGCGATTTCAGGTAGTTACGGAGTTTGACCGTCGACGCATCGGTGTAATGTTTAAGTGATCTCAAGTTTAATCTTCCTGATTTATAAGGGAGTACACTCCGACACACAGCTGCTAACTGGCAAGGATAACCAATTTCTCACCGATTCTGCGATCAAAGGGTCCAAATAGTTCCCAATCCATGTCAACGAAAAGTCATAGGTGTGTAATTCAAAAGCTAATTGCGATGGGATATATCTGCGAACTATCTGCATTTCCACTGGAGTGTGGTATCCAACTTATTTATGATAAACAAAATATCTTGAGTTTATCAATCAATCAGGCGTTTTTCCGCTTTAGCATTGCATCCTTAATAATCATATATTTTTCCTAGTTAAACGAAATTGATTTATCGTCGATGGTCAGCCTGGGAGAGAATTGTTCATATCTATATCTACCATTTCTTTTCCTCATGCCAAATGCTGATCTTTATGCATATTACAGTTGCGCTACATCAGGCTTGGTTTAAATCGATCAATTTTTGGGCACTGTCGTCAGTGCTATTTGCTATGATCGCAGTGTCATCGGCAAATTGAAGCCAAGCTCTGGAATGTAGAATGGCTGTGGACCCGCACTATTGAAATTTTTCCTTTTCGATAAGTCTCATCAGCAAGTTAAAGCATAAATTAAAAAGTAATGGGAAGGTGGGGTCGCCCCGGAGAACTCCTCGTCTAACCGGAATGGGTGGGGTTAAACTTTCACAGCCAGAAACGGTGATTGGATAATCACTGTAGATATATTCAATTGGCTTGAGTATAAAATTATAGTA